GGTTCAAAAATTACCACGAAGACGTGCAATGCCAACAAGAGTGAACTGTCGAAGGCCGAGGCTGTCTGCCGCTATGACCGTCATTGTATAACGGTTTTAAAGGTACTGCGCAGTGCACACAAACGGTAACGACGAACTGATCGCTACATGCAAGATCATCCCTTAATTTCTCCAGTCCAGATGTTTACAGTGAAGTTTGAGATGGCATCGCGCCGCATAACTTAAAACCTATCCCCTAGATGGCAGCAGTGGTGAGTGCCTGAAGTTATACTGTGCCGCAAGGCTCACGCTTTATTTCGCGCTACTGTCCCTAGATGGCAGCAGCAGTGAACGCCTGAAACGAGACTGTGCCGCAGCACGCAGCCGGCAGCCCGACACCGCAACGTACACTCGGGGGCAGATTGATGTTCCACAACTCTTTATCCACCGGGTTCCTATGGCTCAGCATTGGCAGCAGCCGCCTGGTACCGGTAGACTGTGCCGCTTCACTTACTTGTCAAGCGGCACAGCCTACCCACCTGTATGCCACCGGTCTGGGTCGGTGGCTGGAAGGCGATGTGGGCCGCCTGTGACGTCAGCGCAGCGGTGAGGGCCGAGCCCGGAGGCATGGCTCGGGTCGGCGCGGCGCGGCGGCTGGCGAGGACTGGGGAGTGAGGTGGGTTGGGAGCACGGACATCGCGTGGCTGAGCGAGTGTAGTTATCTTTCGCATCTCAAGGCGCCAATTATTCTACCTAACAATTGTGCTAAAGCAGTTGTTAAAATGTCCTATCCCCAAGACAGCGCCTATCATCATACTTGCAATGCACATTACGACACACTTAAGCGTGGCAATGGGACAGCCGATAGAACTTATGTCACTCGTGCATCGAGGTGCGGAGCTATATTTTGTATAACATATTAGTATTAAGGCCTTGATTGAGCAGATTAGTGTCTATTGTTTCGCACGGCAATCGTCCAGAGACGTGGGAACTGGGGGTTATGAGTAGTGCCGCAGCCAACGCTCCAATTTAAAGCGATTATTACTGTTGCTCTAATATGTGGTCGCAGCCTACGATAGCAAACCGTTCCAACTAGGAGCCAAAAAGTCAGCCACTCAGGGGGTTCGAACCGGGCTTCACCCACCGGCCAATTCATGACACGAGCGTTCATCCACTGAGCTACCGAGAATGGTCCTCGTCCGCACAAAACAAAATGACATTCACCCGCTGACCGCCAATGACAGTATTGTGACATTTGATCGCGTTTGACCGCGGCGGGTGGTCGCTGGTTTCGGCAGCTCAGTGGATACACGCTAGCGTCGTGGGGTGCCCGGTTGGAGAACCCCGGTTCGAACCGTCCCAGGTGCGCGACTTATTTGTTCCTAGATGGAACGGTTTGCTATTGGTGGCTGCGACCACACATTAGAGGAACATAAGAGTTTTAAAGTTGGGACACCGCGCTATCCAAAAACCCCAGTTCCCACGTCTCTGGACGATTGCTGTGCGAAATAATAGACACCAATGAGCTCAATCAAGGCCTTAATACATATCTGTTAAAAACAATGTAGCTCCGCAACTCGATGCACGTGTGATATAAATTCTATCGGCTGTCCCAATGTCACGTTTGAGTGTGTCGTAATGTGCATGGCAAGTATGATGATAGGCGCTGTCTTGGGGATAGGACATTTTAACAACTGCTTTAGCACAATTGTTAGGTAGAATAATTGGCGCCTTGAGACGCGAAAGTTAACTACACTCGCTCAACAGCGCGATGGTCCGTGCTCCCACCCCACCTCACTCCCCAGCCTTCGCCAGCCGCCGCGCCGCGCCGACCCGAGCCATGCCTCCGGGCTCGGCCCTCACCGCTGCGCTGACGTCACAGGCGGCCCACATCGCCTTCCAGCCACCGACCCAGACCGATGGCATACGGTGTGGGTAGGCTGTGCCGCTTAACAAGTAAGTGAAGCGGCACAGTCTACCGGTACCAGGCGGCTGCTGCCAATGCTGAGCCATAGGAACCCGGTGGATAAAGAGTTGTGGAACATCAATCTGCCCCCGAGTGTACGAGTATGTATTTGATCGCCCAGAGACATTGACTCCTTTGTCAAAGATGGCCTGCTAGGTGACCCATGACTGTGAAGGGAATGGCACACTGCTGGAACCAGGGTGGGTATATAGAACGACAAACGCTGGAACCAACGCTGGAACCACGGCCTGTGTAGATATTGATACTGGGTAAACCGAGAGCCCCTGCCTGAGATCGTATTGCTCATATATGCAGAACGGACGTGCTTTTAGCGGCCGAGGTCATCACTGCAGCGAAATAACAGCGCGTTCGGAGAAATGAAAGACATGGCGATGATGAATTTTTAACGTTCTTTTATCCCGCTCGTCTTATCACACATGAAGGCGCGCGGTCTCCGCCATTACTGAAGTAATAACACTCAAAGGAGGAATTGATTTCGTGCCGATTACATATTACAATAACCACTGCATGTAGGTTACTGCGGCAAATATGTGTTACTGTTTAATGTCCAACGCATATAGTTTTACTGAACAAAAACATTCAGCATTATTTGAACCAGATCGTTTAAAGCTGACCAGCTCTATCTGACCCAGTTCGGCGGCCCGTCGGCGCCCATCAGAGCCGCCGTCCGAGAGGTCAGCGGCCAACCCGGCCTGTTGGTCTGCATTCTGTCAGCGGCAGCGCCGGCCCGGTCGGACAGCAAATTAACCCGATGAGATCGGCCGGCCGGCCAACTGCGCAGCGAGCGCGGCCGACGTCGGCCAGTTTCACAGACAGGGTGGTGTCGGGCGCTGAGGGCGGGCCGGCGTCTGATCCCTTACGGACCACGACTGGGCGATGTGGAGACTCGATGTAAGCCCGCACCCCAAAACTCCACGCGGAAGAAGTCGGAAAGCCACGTGGATCACGGCGGACTAATGTACCGCGACTCGTGTCACCCCTGACAGAGACGGGAGTCACCCGGCGAAACCAGCGGCCTCATTCTGGCCACGGCCTACGGTCAAATGGCGTGCAGATTGGATCTCCATAGAACGAGCCGCCTACGAATGACGAGGGCTCGGAACTCGGCCGCGGCACGTCCCGCCTGACAATTGAATCGAATCCGCCCGAGGGGATTAGTTCCCTAATACTTCCCTTATATATTTCCGCCATTAATGCCGAGTTGGGATTTCGAACACATATCTAATAAGCGCAGTTCCTTGTAATCAGGATCGGCTGGCTTTTCGGAGACGCCGACTTGTAGAAATGTGCTCCGGAAAACGAGGCCCCGCACGGGTTTCAGATATAAGCTGTCAATGCCCGTGTCAATACCCATTCGAACAGAAGTGCCAGAAGTCTATAAACCAGGGTGATGTATCAAAGCACCTCTCTGGGAGCCCTGAGTAGTTATCTGACAAAACAGTAGTCGTTACTCGTTACATGAGGAAACAAAACGGGCGCTGTCCACACCAGCAGCCCCAGCAGGCATCGGGTGATTACCATAGCTGAAGCTAACCTGACAGTTGACACAGTGCTGTTATCAGAGAGATAGGGCAAACGTGCATCTAAACTGACGCACATGTACCCTCCATCCATTCTGTCATCGGCAATGTGACCGACCCGGTAGGTTCTGATTTGACGGCTGGCACACTTTAATGCCAGTGTAAGTCACAGTACCGTATAAGTGGCTGATGCCATACGGCCAGCGAGCAGTGAATTATCTCATGTCGCAGCACAGGCCAGGAACCATTGCCGCGTATACTGGCATATCTGGCCAGCCCAGTGACCGACCTAGCTCGCCTTTCTTATTCCATGCAAGGGTCAACAGTCTCTATAAATATAAAATAACGAACCGCACCGAGGTATAGAGCAAAACCACACACAGACCAAACACGACAAAAAGAGCGACGAAGAAGGTCATAATGATTCCTGGAAATAACAGAAACCGAATACATTCGCTATTGAACAAGAAACACAGGTCGTGAGTGTGACATATGAATCCGTATTGCTGACGGGATGACTCAACTTCATACCATCTTATGGCTATTCCGTTACTATTTTATCGATATTCAGCATCAGGCGAACCAAGACAAGATCAATGCATCGTTTGGTCATTGGCATCGGTGACACCTTCCGCCCCGTAGCCGTCTCGTCCTCCGCCATTTCTCCATGCCGACCCCCCCCCCCCACATACCTCCCTCCCGCCGCCCGCTGACACGTCGGCCCGTTCACGCGCCCATTCAGTCTAATTCCGAGCGACTGAGGCCCGCGGAACCGCGGCACAGCCCAGTTTATGTGGCCAAGTTGCGGCTCCACTAACCGCCCGGCCGCCCCCGCCCGTGTCGACAGCTCCGACAGTCGATAACGCACAAAGTTGGTCCGCCGCTGCCCTCGCCGCGGCCCCACTCAAAGGCACAAGTTTGTCACCGCGGTCACGGCACAGAGAGCGGTGTAGGTCGGTGTTGAGGACTGTGGACAGGCCGGACCCGCTGCTGTTCCGGGGGGGGGGGGAGGGAGGGAAGAGGGAGGCGACTGGGAAAGAATTATTGTCCGAGGTCAGACTCAGCGTGGGGAGTTACCGTGTAACTCCAAATGGACGAGAATAGCTCGGGCCACATATTTCGCTCGAAGGAGCTGAATTAAGTGTTGTCGACCTGCTTTGTTGTGGTAGCGTTCTCGTGATGACAACACACACAGCTAATAGAATTCAAATAGCGTGACTTATTAGTGCCGCTGGGTGGAATTATTTGCTAACGGCGAGTCAACATGTTCATCTATTAGCACCCAATGACCTGTAAGCACGACAGACAGCAAGTCAGAATCCTTGGCCCTTCCCCAGTGCCCTCTACCTTGACTATTTGCTTCGTTCCCCGCACTTGTCCTTCCCCACTGTCCCCGGCATTTCAGCACATTCCCCCGCCTCCCATCTCTGTCCTCCCCTTCACACCCATATCCGGTAGAGCCCCCCCCCCCCCGCCCCGTAACACCGGCCGCACCTCAATTCCACACGCCGATCCACTGGCTACAATATATTAACATTTGTACAAGGTACATTTTCAGCAGCTTCCACCCGCTTCATCCAATGGGAGCTGTCCGCCCGACAGGCCCGCCGTGCCGCCCGAGCCGCCCCGCTCAGCGCACGGGCGGCGGCGGCGGCGGGCCTGGCCAGCGGCTCAGGTGAGTTGGATAGACGAGAGACGGACAGACAGGGGAGGGAGGGGTCAGGACGGGACGGGGAGGAAGGGGAAGGCAAGCGCTGTCAGAGTCGGGGGCAGGCAAAAGGCACGCTGCTCGCCGGGACCACTGCCCGCGTCGCTTCCCAGCGCCAAGCGTTGGACCCGCGATACCCAGTAAAATGCATACAGAGAGTGGCAAGTGGAGTTCTCATGGGGTGGCGAGCGACACATCATCAGCGGCGCGGCGCGGCGCGGCGGCGGCGGCCGCGGCCGGACGTGAGGTCACTTCAGGTCGAGTCGCGAGCCGCCGGGGCGGGGTCAGGTCAGGTCAGGTCGGGCGGCCGGCGCACCGGCCGGCGCTACCCGCACCCTCCTGGAATGTTCAGACTGTGTCGGCGGCGCCGTCACCGCCGTCCGCACACAAACGAAAACCGGTTAAAACTGTTGCCGGGGGGCGCGCGTCACTCGGCCGGCCCGGCTCAATTATGCGACATGATTGTAGCCGAGGCGGCGCGGCGCCGGCCGCGCGCGCCCACTCCCCGCTGCGCCTCGCTGGCACCATTGTCAGGCGTTAAAACTACACTTTATACAGAGTCGGGTGGGAGTGACGGCGGCGGCCGGGACGGGCGCGCGCGGCCGGGGGCGCCGGCCGGGGGCGCCGGCCGCCTGTCATGTCTCCGTGGGTGTACCTGTGTGTGTGTGTGTGTGTGTTTGTGTGTAGGTATGTCTGTTTGTGTGTCTGTGCGCGGGACTGGCGCTACCCGGCGGCCTCTGCGACGGGAGCGCGGCGTATCACAGCGTAGTTGGACAGCTCTCTTTCTCAATCTCACAGCTCGCTGGCTCTCGCCCTCTCACACTCACACTCACACGCCCAATCACCCGGTCAGTCACTCTCGCAATCGGTTCGTCTCGTCTCGTCTCGGCTCGGCTCGACGGCGGAGGCGGCGGAGGCGGCAGCTGCGCCCCGTATATCTGTCAGTGTGTGTATTGCTGTGCTAGTGGCCGACTGATGAGCCCGCTCTCACGCTCTCTGTGGGTGGCCCGCGCTGCTCCGGAAGCCGCTCAGGCCGGTACGTGCGGCTCCGACTGCGGCGCCGCCGGCTCCGCGGCCGCCACCTTCGACGGGCTGTCGGATAAAGCGAGAACGGGCGGTTAGACACAGTGAGAACGGCCGGTTAGATACAGCGAGAAACAAAGGTCAGACATATATAGAAACTGAGGTCAGATACAGCGAGAAACAGAGATCAGACATATAGCGACAAACGGAGGTCAGACATCACAGGAAGAGCTCTGGCAATGTCGTGACTGACCTGAACACAGATGGCAGCACCACCCACAGGTGAAACGTCATGGCACGGGTCGTAAGAAAGACGCTCACCCAGTCAAGGATCGAGAATGTATCCCCAAGGCCACACGATAAAATAGGTATAGATTTGATTAGATGACTTATATTAGATGACTTATAAGTTATCTAAAAACGCAGAGATAATGAATGCATTTGTCTTTGCTAACAACTGATCTTTCTCATCAAGAGAATGTCCTGCCTCTCTCCCCAGCTATGCGTCTGGTTGTCTGCCTGTCTCTCCAGATCGCACTACATACCTGGGCAGGTCGGCGGTCCGGCTGGCGGCGGCTAGCTCGGCAGTCGGCTCCGGCTCTCCGCCCTCCTCGCCCTCGGACGCAGAGCCGTTCATCAGACCCTGCGACGTCAGGAAGCTGCCGGGAGGTCAGGTCAGAGGTCAGAAATCAGACGGAGAGGTCAGATGTCAGCAATCAGGTGGAGGGTCACAGGTTACAAGGCAGGCAACAGAGTCCCAAGTCACAACTCAGAATAAATACGGGAGTCGCAAATCAGGTCAGGCCGGGAAATCACAGATGGGTGAACATAAAAGTGTTGAGACAAGTAAACTACCAGCAGATCATAACATATGTCACGTCATAATATGCCATATGAGTGATCCCTAGTCAGATCAGATTACAAGTCAGATCAGATTATAAGGTCAGGTCAAGGGTGACAGCTAATCACGTAGTCAAAAAGTTTGTCAGGGCTGCGGGTGACTGTGAAATCAAAATGCCGCTCCAGCCTACTCCTGCCACCGAACACAGCTGCCCCGCCCGGTGGCGGACACGGCAGTCGTCAGTTACAACGGTCGTGATTTGGACTCACAGAACGCAAAGGTCACCGTCGCGCAGTGTCGTGTGGTTTACAGCCTGGAAACACGTATCCGATGGCGCCATAACGTGGTACCAGGGACGTAGTGACGAGCTAAAACCTTACGGACGCCGCCAGTCGGGGACGGAAAGTGTCCAGTTCAGGTCTAGCCTTAAATAGTCGTCATGGTGGTGTTATGTAACGATGTTCATTTAGTTCGCAGACCAGCTGTGACGGACACTGTACAGAAATGTGTCGGAAGGTGGGCGGGTAGCACTGCCAGCCGGGAGGGCTCGACTCGATATGCTTAAACTTCATATACGGCAGAGCGACACCGACCTACAAATTACTCTGCAAGGGGTTCTTGCCGGAAGTACAGTGGAATCCGCTTATCCACCTTGGTGACAAGGTGTTTTGGACTTATTAAGCGGTGGCTTTATTAACCGGAGTCAGTTATTTTCATTAAACAAGCCTGTATCGCAGCTGCACGTTCCGTTTCCCTGCAATGCAAGCGTATTGGCTTACATTCCTCATTGCCTTGCTTATTACAATCATGAAAGTGAGCAGACTAGTCTCTGTCACTGGTGGGGTCAAGGGGTCCGGAACCCCAAAACTTGACTTTAGTAATGCAGCCTTATGTATAAAAGCTGGGCCCTGTTTCACCGGTGATAGCAGCACGCCACTATCAAATTGCGCGAGCTGACGTAATGTGATGACGTCATACTGCTGACGTAAGGGGCAATTCTGGCGCACGATTGCCGCAATATTGTTTTACGTCATCAGCTAAATGTTCGAAGTTAATGTCCAAATTTTTCCTAAACCCAACTTCTTTTAAATACATCATATTGAAAAAATATATACCAAAAATATATATATACTATCATGACTGCGTAAACTCTTACTTTTAGGCTCATACGTCACTTAATGCCGCCGCCAAGGTCGCGGCAATCGTGCGCCGGAACTACCCATTACGACAACAGTATGGCGTCACGACATGACGTCAGCTCGCGAAACGTGATAGCAGCTTGCTGCTATCACCGGTGAAACAGGGCCCAGGTTTTAGAGTTGGACATGCCCCCGAACCTGCGACTGTAGTGACCGTAGTGCGGGGGCATGTCCCCCTGAAATTGACCAGCGCACACTCAGCAAAGCCGTCACAGCACGTAAGTCAACATATCCATCCACGATCACTCCCCGTCATGCCTGCAATGCCAGCGAAACAGTCGAGCGTGCCTGCTTTGAGGGAACATATTTTCTTTGAAGTGCATGTTAATTGCGCTCTTGCTAGCCCTGAACCCCTTCTGTTTTTAGAACTCCAACTGCAGCAGATCACTGCTCCAGCGCGTTTTTTTTTTAGGAGCGGGTTGGATGCAACATTTCGAATGGGGAGACGTTATTGCGGACTTCGGAACTCTTAAGTGGCTTTATTACGCGGAGTACGTGGAATTATTAAGCGGATTTAACTATAGGCATCTATGGGGAAAATCCGGGAACAGCTCAAGCGGCCACAATGAGCGACTGAATTTATTATCCGTGGATTTATTAAGCGGATTCTACTGTACATTCTCGTCATAACAGGTCACCATCTATGGGAGATAAATACATACAAGCAGGCCCAAATAGCCTTAAGACTGTGCGATGGGGCTCGTACACCAGGTAGCTTTCAGGCAGGGCAGTTGACTAACAACTGAATCTATTAACCGCTCGACTGAAATCAGAATAGCTAACCACCAGTATAACGCCTTTTGGGGCGACTAACGGAGCGAGCGAGAGGGTGAGCCTTGCACGTGCGAAATTTCGAGGGGGTACCTCCAGCTGACTTGTGCACAGCACCCAACTAACCGGTATCTAGCGATGTGCCAAATTTGAGCACAATCGGCCCAGCCGTTCTCGAGATCTAGAAGCGGCACCCTGCACGTGCGCACGTGCAAAATGGGTCCCAACTGACTTTTGCACGGCACCCTACTAACCGGTCCCCTAACCATGTGCCAAATTTGAGCGCCATCGGTCCAGCCGTTCTCGAGATCTGGAATCGACCCCTGCACGTGCGCACGTGCAGCAGCACCCCAACTCTGGCACATGGATATGCATTGCCTAGTGGGTGCCTACCTACATGCCAACTTTCAGCGCAATCGGCCAAGTAGTTACCAAGATATTGCAACAATTACAAAAGTGACACCTCTTCGTTTTGCACGTGGCACGTGCATAAGGGGTCACCTACATGCATCGGGAATAGTCCAATACTTGGTAGAAGGAATGAAGCTACCCTACAAAAATTACCGCGTGTAAATCGGTCAAGTGGTTGCTGAGATATAAGCGTCGCAGAAGCGTGACCACGGCCGGCCGGCCGGCCGGCCGCTCATACTCAGAAATTTCCGTTAATCTAAGGAAAGACTTCGCTCGCTTCGCTCGCTCCGTAATGAAGGATCTCTAACACCGAGGCGGTATTTGAACTCTAAAAACTCGAATACCTTGCTGCCGATGAGGAGCTCCTGTAATCGACTGCGCGACTGTGAGTCTGTCTCACCTGTAGTTGTCGGCCAGCTGCTCCGTCGGTTCGGAGAGCGGCGACTCCCCGCTACCGTCCCCCGCCTCGGACGTCGCCGCCGCGGACTCCGCCGTCACGGAAGACTCGTGGAAGAGCGGAGTGAAGTCGCCTCCCGTCGAGTTCAGCTCGTGCGGAGACTCTGCAGAGGACAACGAAACAAATAACGTTAAGGCCGAGTCAAAAACAATTTAAAACGTAAGACGCGTCTTTATGGAACTACCTAACTCTAGCTCAAGTTTTTCAGATCCCGCATCAAAATAAGAGAATTTAATGTAGCGCACATTGATAAGCGGGCACCGTCTCAGCTACTCATAAGCCCCTCAGTCCTCCCAGTCATCACGGAATATATAGTCTACGACACTACGATGTCGTAGACTAGATATTCCGTGCAGTCATAGTCAAGTGGCTTGTGACTGACCTGGCCGGTCGGCCGGCGGCGTCACCGGCTCCGCCACCAGCAGCTCGGGCTGCACCTCCATGGAGCCGGCGCCTGCGCTGAGCTGCAGTGACTCGGGCCGGCCGGGCGGTGCCGGCGCGTCCGACGACACCTGGCCATCCTCCTGGACGGCGCACGTGTTTGAGAACGCCGCCTCGAAGTTCGCGTGGAACGCTGAAGGCTGCTCGGTGGTCGAGCCGGTACCGGCCGAGGATTCTGTGGGAGTGGTGGGTCATGGTCCCTGCATGATCACGGACACATGATAGTATATTGGCTCGACAGTGGCAATAAAAAGACGTAATATGGGGACACGGCTCTCAGGGTAGATAGTCGGGAAATATGACCGGCATGACGGAGTTGAACTAAAATTAAAAATTCAATGAACCGTCGAGAATTGTCACAAAGCAATCGTAAGTCCTACAACTGAGTGCAGTACAGTCACAAACATCGCATGAGTCAGGCAAACGATGGCAATACCGTTCAGACCGGTAGGTTATTGCGTACACTATGCTAAGCGGCATAAGACACCATCAGGTAGTAGACAGAACCTCAGTTGGTGTCGATGTCGACATTCATTTCCGTCCGCAGCTCACCTGTGCTCTGCGGCGCTGCCGTGACCGCGTCGGACTGCGACTGGAAGGCAGGCCACTGTGCGGTCTCCGCCGCGTCTCCGGCGGCCGGCGCCGCTGCCGGGGGCGCCTCCTCCCACATATTGGTCTCCATGGCCACCTGCGGTGAGTCGGTAGCAGTAGCGGCGGCCCACGGGTCGCTCGTGTCTACCTCCATGGAGATATGCGCCGGCGCGCTGTCGTCGCCTGCGCCGCCCTCGTCCGACTCGTCGTCCTCATCCGAGCTGCTGTGGCATGGCTCCAGGCTGGCCGTGCGCCGCGCCGGCCACGGGTCCGCCTCGCTGGCGGCCGCGAACAGGTCGACCGCCGACGGCCGGCCGTCGCCGCCGGCGTCCAGAGACAGCAGGCCGACTGGAGTCACCTCGTCCGGCGACGCGCTGAGGGACGGCGGAAGACGGGGAGTGAGTGATCGGTAGTCGCCCACAACGGCCATGCATGCATGCATGCATGCATGAAGGTAGTAATGTCGCGGAGAGAAGAACAGCGAATTGAGAGGAAAATAGCCTGTGTCGAATGTAGATACGATTGGAAGCCAAAAACCTAGCGTCCGACTGCCCTGCCCCTGATATCATGTGCCCCATTTATCTGACGACTTTCCTCCCACTGACTTATCCCCAGCCCCACTAATCCGAATGTCAGCAGTCATTCCTAGCCCCACGTTCTGTACTTCAATAACCAAACGATTCTCTACTCACTGGCATAGAGTCTCGTCTTTTCCTTCAGCTGCCACGACTTATTCTCCACAAACCTGCCCAGTCCCCTCGCCCCAATACCGCTCCCACCCACCTGAGGCCGTCCCCTCACCCGATGACCGTGCTCACACCCACCTGAGGCCGTCTCCGATGTCGTTGTAGCCGTCGTCGTCGCCCAGGTCGTCGGCGCCCTGCCCGTCGGCGCCGGCCGTACTCGCGTGCAGCAGCTGGAAGTTGTGGAACGTCTGAAACCACGGCCGGGCGGCGCCGCTGTACAAAACAGCCCAGCCAACAGCGCCGCCACCTACACCTCACATAAACACGGCCGGGCGGCGCCGCTGTACAAAACAGCCCGCCGAACAGCGACGCCACCTCGCCTAACGCACACCGGCCACTCTACCCCTTCCTATGACCTAAAACATCTACTCTGTACTATTCCCTAGGACACACACTGGCTACTCTAGCCCTCCCTTGTAACACAAAACTTCTACTTTGTCTCCCTTCTCCCGTGCCAACGCTACCAAAACAGCATCCTTAAACAAAAAAATACACACGCTAATCATCCGAAAGAATCCAAACTACTTCGTACGATCGATGAGTTGTGACTCGTCGAGAGTGATAACGAATAACTGCAAGTGTTCCCGAGTGAGCCCACAGGTGCGTGTGTTCGAACAGTAGACAGCGCACAGTGCACACGTCAGGATTATTAGTGAAGAGGAGCAAGACCGGACGTGTGCTGGGTTCCCGTGTTTGAGAGGGTCTTTAGGTGGGTGGGGACGGGCACTACTCGACATCGGTGAGTGTTGTGGTAGGCTGGATCGAGGCACAGTTCGGTGTCTGAGGGGATGCCATGCCAGGCAGGGCCGAGGCGAATCACTCACCCTGAGGATGGTGGCCTGCTGAGCCTCGGTCACCTGTCGGTAGTCGGACTCGCTGGCAGTCTCCTGCTTGGTCTCCGGCAACACCGGCTGGCGGCACACACAGACAGACAGACGTCATCAGTTAAACCGCTCGGCAGCACATGGAACACGACTCGACAATAACAACCTAGCAATAGTAATAAGGAATATTCATACACAACATGGCAGCACCGCAACCATCGGGAAATACTCACCTTGTCACTATTAACTGAAATATAACAACGGTGAGCAGCTGACGTGCCCTCTCTGAACATATCAAAACTTAACGTCTTTCCCATTAATCAGAATGTCTTTATCATGCCCACACACACATTTTCGGGCAATCTTCATAATTTTGCAACACAGCCCATCGCCCCTTCCCCTCCCTCCCAGTGGGTCCCATCTGGCCCAGTGCTTCCATCATACCTTGTTCTGTTCATTGATCCTGTGCAGCTTGGCCTCCTTGAAGGCCTGCCAGCTGGCTCGTATGTCGTCGGGCAGGGCGTCCAGCTGCTCGCGCACCAGCTGCACGTTGGGCCCCTCCTCGGCCGCCGAGCACACCTTGTTGGCCATATTCACCAGGTGGCCGCAGTACGCGCGCGATGAGCGGAAACACCGCCTGTCGGGGGGGGGGGGGAGGGGGGGACGGTTACAGGCGGCAGACAGGGATGTGGGGCGGCGAGATCTTCGGACGAAGAAGACAGTGGGAGAAGACGCGAGCGTACCCGAGGACATCGCGACATTAGATGCGTAAGAGGTAGGTAGGACTGACAACGAATGATCCAACTACGTTTTGCAGTTACTTATAAGCAAATATGCATCGCAACACAGTCTGCATCCTCCTATCTTGTAACTTATCAATACGAAGTCAGTAGACACTGACATTGAAACAGATGTAGGTTGGCAAAGTGACATCTTTGGGTTTTCTCGTAACACAATTACCTTTGAAGTGTTTCCGATGGTCCATGCAAAATGAGTACAATTACCAAAAACGAGTGTCAACAAGAGCGCTAATTACATACCGTTTTTGTTCGGACGATTCGCCGTTTGTCTGAGGCTCCTCCATGCCCTGAAGTATCCTCTGCACTAGCTTTGTCTTTGTGAAAATCTGAAACACAACGGAACAATCATTAGGGTTGGCCGAATCAACACAGTGGCACCGTCGCCCGCCCGGATAGGCACCTACTCAAGCGAATTGTCATGTCCCAGAGGGGACATATGTGTGAATATAAACGAAACTGCACAAGGGATTTATTTCGGGATTAACAGAATGCACAGGGATGGCTAAACTCAGTAGTTTCATCGTCAAATCACATTCGGTACTGGTGCTAAATATTCACTGCCTCGATGCCTACTTACATGTACTAGAAGTGGGTGGCAACTCTTGCCTTCTTCACTTTCCTGTGGCTCAGCCTCTAGGATGAGCGCGATACTTTGCTCTACTTGCGAGTGAAGGAAGTTGTTTAGCGTGTACTGGAAGAACAGGTCCTGAAACCGATCCGAGAATAGTAAGCACGTGATTACAAAGACATGAAATAAGGTGAACATTCAACAACGCAAATACAACAAACGTCCCTGGTTAGCACGCAGCAGTGGTAGCCGTCGCTATACCAAATTTCAGTACGCTCGCACCAAAGCACGTGTGGCCCGCGAAGTTACGATAAATCACATGTCTAAACATATCCACGGGAGGGACGGAACACGGACGTCCTGTCACCATTGGTGTCAGATTGTACCGGATCATACCGGACCCAACTGGACTGTCAGTCGGACGCACCACGGGAATCTATACACATGAACGTAAGGGTCTTAGGGGCTGTGCGACCGATCCAAATACGAACGCAATGAGTTCTAACGCACTCGTGACTCGTCCCCCAGCTACAACTTCGTACATGGGTCTGATCGTAGGCGCACCGTTCCCGCTTGGGCTGGACCCCGGCTAAACGGCTAGATATGCGCTGTGATATGGTGGGTAAGAGCTGATGCATAAGAGCCGGTATCTGGTGCTGAATCAGTAGCCAACGACAGTCCGTATGACTGTCGAATGTCCTCGGCGGGAAAGTCCCTCAGCAGCAGCTATCAGGGCTATATCCGCCACGCCAGCCGGCCGGAGCGGACGGCACATGTGACTATAACAGTGTCGACGTACCCATACGACGTACTCCAGCAAACAAACCGACCACAGCGAGCCCAAGGACGGGAACCGCACCCACCTAGCGCAGGCTCTTACTGGTCCCGCTCCCACCAGCAGCAGGTATCCCCCCCGCAGGTCATCCCACCAGCAGCAGCTCCCAGGCTCTGACCAGCGGGTCCCCTCACCAGCAGTATGACCAGCAGCAGTCTCTCACCAGGAGCAGGTCGATGGTGCCGAGCTGCGCCAGCCGGCAGTTGACCGGGTGCCGGTTGGCGGCCAGCAGCGCCGTGGTCAGACGCGCCACCTGCAGCCGTGTGGCGCCCAGCGGCGGCTCCAGGCGGCCGCACGTGGTGGGCACGGCGGGCCGCGGCGGCGGCTCCAGCAGCAGCCGGTGACAGTCGGCCAGCCGCGGCAGCAGCGCGTCCGCCACGGCCTGCACGCTGGCCGGCTCCTCCGGCGGCACCTCCTCGTCAGCCTCGTTTTGGGCGTAGGGCGCGCCGGGCCGGCCCGTGTCCAGCAGCAGCCGCAACACCAGGAACGCGTTCACCAGGCCGGCCTCGGTGCGCGCCGGGCCCAGCACGCCGTCCAGCACCGACGACACAAACTCCGTCCTAAAGGGGGGCACAGAGACACACAGTCAGACACAGACACCGTCACCGACGACACAAACTCCGTCCTACCGGGGGCACAGAGACGCACAGTCAGACACAGACACAGATAGATATCCGTCACATACAGACACAGGGAGCTGACAGCACGCCGTCCAGCACCGACGGCACAAACTCCGTCCTACCGGGGAGCACACTGTCAGACACACGGACACCGTCACCGACAATAGAAACTCCGTCCTATGAGGCACGGACACACAGACAGCCAGAATATACGGACCACCGACAATCACAGACACAAACAACTCCACTTTCACATTTGGCTGGAATTTAATAGCCAGACTCCCAAGATAAAATTCGTAAAAGGTTCGTAAGAAATCAGGTTTTGAATGTTTGTAAGGGCGAGAGTGTGTGTAGTTCCATCACATACGTATTTCCACCGAACATTACCGTCGACCATATCAACACTGGCAGACTACGATTGTTAACATAACAAGTCCAACCATAAAGATAATTCCCACGCACACACGATTCCACGCCACACCCCAGCACGTGCCAGTCTCCTGTTAAATAACTCATCAAACATAAACGTCGGCCGTGCCATAATCGTACCCATGAGCGAAGTCCAAACACACAGGCGCCAACCGACTAGCCAGCCGAAAATTAGCACCACACACAGTCGGTCGGGGGCATAGCGTAACAAAGTTCCGGCACACGCCCTTCTCAAACGCTTTCCACTCACGTTTCGATGGTGGAGACGAGCGGGTTGGGCTCCTTCTCTCCGGGGCCGAGCTGCTGGGCCATCTGGCGCGCGCAGCTCACCACCGACATGATGACCTGTCCGGCGTTGGCCTGCCGGTCGGGGTGCTCTCCATCGGCCATCAGCTCGGCCAGCCGCTGCACCAGCCGCTGGTCGTTGAGCCACTGATGACACACGGGTGGTACAGAGGTCACCGCGGGGTCGCCAGATGGTGGTGGTGGTGGTGGTGGGAGGGGGGAGAGGTCAAGGTGGTTGGGGCCATGGTGGTTGGGGTCACGGTTGATCGGGTCACGGTATTTAAGGTCACGGTTGCTGGGATTACCGTTGCTGGCATCACGGTTGCTGGGGTCACGTTAGCTAGGGTCACGGTTGCTCGGGTCACGGTGGTTGAGGTCACGGTTACAGAGGTCACGGTGGTTGAGGTCACGGCTGCTGGGCTCATAGTCGTCAGGGTCACGGCCGTTAGGATAGCAGTTGCCGTACGATGAAAAATTGACGGCTAGATAATCAAGGCAACCAATCCTGTCGAAAAAAGCATAACAAGTTTTTTGTCGCGACATGACGTCCAAACGATTCAAACAACCTGTTTATGATTGCGGAAAGCGTGGCGCCGTGATGCCAGCACAGCCAGGCCAAAACGTTCAGTATGTATACTGAATAGCAAGTAGCTGAAGGAGAGCCGCCTTTGACCACCGGTAGCCGGCTGGGCCGTGTGGCCGACGGCCCGATTGCGATTCAGGGACATCGGGTGACGTCATATGGTGGGCCGGCGCCGACTGGATGACGTCACCCGGTGGACCGGCGCCGGTCGGGTGACGTCACCCGCCCACCGGCGCGACGCCACTGGTTTTACGACGGCGCGACAGGGGAGGCCATAAACGGTGGACGCGTGCCGGCGGGGACACCCGACCGACCCCATACGTCGGCACCGGCGGAGACTCACGGAGACACGCCCACCGGGTAGGATGGGGGGGGGGGGCACGATACACGGGAGACGGGAACAGCTCCTTTCAGGGCAGACAAAATCAATCCCTCAGGAATGCATATCTCCAGACTGTCTGACCCGGGCCAAGACGGACTTTGGTGGTGGTGGTGGGGGGGGGGGGGGGGGCGGTGTCAGCGACCACCACCCACCAAGCTAATCCACATGACGCCACGCCCACCGCCCACACCCTTCATCAGAGCAGGTTACGCCTACCGCAACCAAAACCTCACCCATAAGGCATCAAACTACGTCCACCTTCCCCTAGCCACGCTCACCCTGCCTCTCACAAAACGCTCACAGGTTACCAGGCCATGCCCAATTGCCCACCGTCCACCAGACCACGCCCACCCTGAATGCCACCAAACCACGCCCAGCTAATGACGTCTACCGCCCTGATAGAACCACACCTACCTGTTCAGCCACCCGGAAGTAGTCGCAGACCACGCCCACAGTTCACCAGGCCACGCCCACTGGCTACCATACCAGTCACAGACCACGCCCACAGTCCACCAGGCCACGCCCACTGGCTACCATACCAGTCACAGACCACGCCCACAGTCCACCAGGCCACGCCCACTGGCTACCATACCAGTCACAGACCACGCCCACCATCCACCAGGCCACGCCCACTGGCTACCATACCAGTCGCAGACCACGCCCACCATCCACCATGCCACGCCCACCGTCCATACTCACATTGAGCGCATTCTGGCGATACTCTGGCGCCTCGATGCCCGAGATGAGATTGCACGTGAGGTCCATGATTGCAGACGTGCCCAGGTGGCGCAGCACCAGGTCAATGAACGTGTCCATCGACTTGAGAAATTCTAACACCTGGAGGCAGTTGAATTGATACGAGTACCAGCTCTGGAAAAGAGAGCAAAACGGAGGTGCGTTAGAAGTTTTAGCAGAGGATCCGCCTCTTCGGTAAACTGGATTTCGGATAATTGGGTGATCACGCGCCCAAAGTAGTGTCTTCAGCATTTCCTCCCCTAATAAACAAAGCGTGAAAACAAACAGGAGGTAAACCAAATGAGAAACCAGCTCTCAAGCAAAGTCCCCGCCCTTCCGGCCTGACCCGTCCTTTCTGTCCTCCCATCTGATTAGCCTCACCGTGTTCCCGACCTGACCCGTCCGTCCCCCCACGTCTGACGTGCAGCGCCGTGCCCCCGTTTCTTACTTATCCCTCTGTTTCTCCCTCTGATCTGTTCTGCCGTGTTCCCGGTCTGACCCGCCCCTCCCCTAGTTCTAATCTGCCCGGGCCGCCGTACGATCAGCAGCGCAATGTTCCCGGTCTGACCCGTCCGTCTCCCCCTTTCTGACCTGGCCGGGCCGCCGTACGATGAGCAGCGCCAGCGTGCGGCTGAAGTAGCTGGCCAGCAGCGGGTTCAGCGGCGGCTCACACTCCAGCAGGCTGTAGAGCCGCCGCAGCAGCGGCCGCTCGCCAGCCAGCTGGTCGATAATGGCCGGCACGTTGCACGTGACGATCTCCGAGGCCATGTTGGCGTAGCGGTACTGGGAGGCCACGTCGCCGGTCGGGTCCGGCTCGGTCACCATGTGAGACACGAGCGCCATCATCACCTCGGGCTGCACCAGACTGGGGACACAGGGGATGGGTCAGTAATCAGAGGTCATGTCAGCATTTCAGATCAGAGGTGAGATCAGAGCATCAGCAATCAGAGTTGCATCAGCATCAGTTATCAGAGGTCAGAGGTCTTTCAGCATTTGACTGTGCCAGACTGGGGGTCACCAGGGGACAAACAGGTTACCAAATCTACACCAGGCTGTCGATACAGATGAACAGAGATTAGATTATCATAGGGGACATCACAAGACACCTGCAGCTGCACCCAACTTGGGGACAGATGGCAGGTCAGTACTGGCTGCAATAGACCTGGGAACATGACGCTGGTCACAACTAGTGTCAATGGATGTTAGAAAGGCCACAGGTCACCACCTGTTGCACCATACTGGGACCAGGCTTCAGCTCACAAGCCAGGTCACATTCATCCTCCCCTGAACACAGGTCCTGCTCAGCAAGGCTTGTGAAGAAGATGAACACATTTACTGTCCCATAAACCACAGCTTCAATGTGCATCATACTCACAAGTCTATCACATTGCTATTTTGAGCTTTGCATTCTTGTATGATATCCTCTTCATCCAACAATTCTTCTAATGTGACATCCTGAAATGAGGAAAGAGGGGTCAATAAAAAATGATACAAAATCATTATTATCCAGGGCAGTTTTGACCATCAATTGTGTTTAGCTCCAGAGATAATGCACCCGAATAAGGCATCTACTAAATCAACGACACAAACATAACTAAATATCAATGAACCATGAAAACATCCACAAAATGAGTATGAGAGAGAGTTTATGCTATCATACAACTCAATAGCTAGGTACCTAAGAACAGAGACTTGAAAAGCTCAGCCAGTACAAGCCATCATAATTGCAGTGCCTAAAGGGAAAAAGCTATTTGAAAAATAATGCTAAAAATAAATCAGAAGAGCCTGGTATCACTCACCTCTTTATTTAGGAGCTCAGCTACTCTTGCTGAAGGCGCAGCATGAAACTTCCAATACATTGTACGATCTGAAAAAGGAATGCCTACATACATCATTGTGTCTATTCTGATATTACAGAACTATTATAAGCAGTCCTCACTTAAGGCTGACTGATAGAAGTGGTTAGCAAAGTTGTTAGAAGTTGATGGAAGTGCTTACCCGATGTTAACAAAAGGCACCAACGGGTAATCAAAGCTTACAAATAACAATAGTCACCAAAACTGCAAACAAATGTAAAAAACAATGACCGTTTAAACAGGAGTTATAAAAAACCATTTAAGGCACATAACACCAGACATAAATATTATAAAAATTCCCACATTTCCGAATCACGTCTGCTCCATTCTCATTACAATTATGATTCAGGGAGAGAAGTTGAAAGTTTCTATGTACATGCAAACAGAAAAATAATTATTAATCTTATTTTTAAGCATCATCCCTTTTAAATCAATGAATTTCCCATTCATTCTTTGACTGAAATCTAATTATTTGAATTTAAAGTTTAAGACACATCACCATTTATCAGCTTCAAAATTACAATGCATGTTTGACATTAATAATAAATATAAATCAATAAAAATAAATCAAAATAAGAGCATAACTTTACCTAAATTCAACAGAAATCTTGTACTAAACGACGGACACGGTTATAAACTCCGTATATAAATGAATGGAAGTTTACAAAATGAACAAAGCGAGTTTATTTCGACATATGTGACGCACGTGAGTCAAATCTAAGATGGCGCAGGCAGACGTGCCAACAAAAAAGTGACTAATTCAGTCTCCTGTTTTCATTAGGACAGCCAAAAATCAGAAAATTATTTTCAATGAATCAAAGTGAACCCTAAAATGTTTAGCTATAATGGCTGTTTATAAATGAACAAAATTAGACTTTGAAAGGTACAAGGCCATCAATTTCATGAACGTACCGTCGCATGCTGAAGCACTCAGTAAATGAGTGTATTTTGGCCAAAGGCGATAGAGTCGAGTATGCAATACGAGAAAAAAAATCGCAGAGCAATAATCGTTATACAATTCGGCAGTCACTTTACGACACTGCTACTGCAGTCACGCCAGGTCCGACCCTCCGTGGCAATTCAGACATGGAAGAAATGGGCATTCCAATTTTCCGCTCTCCTCTACATCTCCACGCGTTACCCGAGGCTCCCTGGCAGCTTCCAATTTCACAACATCTCCACAATCTGTTTTCATATTTCGCTTTTCTCGGGAAATGGATGAGCAAGGCAATTCAAGTCCACATCGAATGCTGAAATATGTAGGAATGTCGAACAAGGTTACGATTTTCGGTTCCCAAAGCGCAGCATTGGATAAAATGGGCAGGCTCTCCTCAGGTAGGTATGTCCACGCAGTAGCTAATAAAAACAAAAACAAAAACACTGAAAACCTTCACTTCAAAATTCTGTGCATTTCCGAGTAGATGTCCATCAAACATTTCAGTGCATTGCTTGCAAAGCATTACAACCAATATTACTACACCATAATTACCTAAAACTACACAAAGAAATGTATTTTTCATGAATACGAGTACAACATATGGTAGTGTACCTCCACGTAAAATTTGGAGACTGAGGATGACGATGCCCAAATGACGTAGGCCTCGCTGCCCCACCATGCATAACACCGTGTCGCGCCCGTTGGCTCCAAAATACGAGCCTTTCGTTCAAACGGTCGTGTTCCCTCACAGTTTGGCGCTGGCCTGGACAGGAACCACGATACAGTCCGACATACACTCGCTATCGCACAGCAGCCAACAGGGCGTTCCACAGCCGCGAAGGAACATAAATTAACCCAGACCAAGATGGGAAGAGATGGGCATCGGAAACCAATGAGCAATGCGCAAACTGTCACCAAGGACAGTCTCTCCTCAGTACTGCACCCGGCACCAGAGGCGGCTGAGACCTCTGTCCAGCGCCTCCTGAGCCTCTTACTCTGGACGGTACGGCGCTGACGATTAGCATACAGCGTTATCTTCGCGTACTGAGTATATCGCTTCGAAATCGTCAGTCTTAAGTTACTACTACGTTGTTTCAGATTCGGTCATCACATTTGGTAACATTACTACCAACCGAAAGACATCGCCAATGAAAGTTTCCCGCGTCTCGCCAACCATTTCAAAATATAAAAACATAAAAAACTAAAATATCGCCCGTAGACGAGTATAAAACAGCAGCGCCCTGCAATATTACCGAGATCTAGTTCCATTGAGACCAGCACTGCACAGAGAGCTCCAGGTCAAATGAGACTGGCAGCCGACCCACGACACGCCGTCAGTCCTTGCCGCTCTGCCACCGGCCCCTGATCAGCCGGGGAGGTGGACTCCGCAGTCTACCTACCGCCGCTCGCAGCAAACACACGGGCCAACAGCGATGAATGGGCTCTGTATTTGGGGCGGCGCCGGAGCCCGCCGAGTGCCAGCGCCGCAGACAGAACGAACAGCGCGCGCCCGGCCGATGGGAATGGTTGGCCGGCCACACAGCTACGCCGGCACAGCTCTCACACACATACAAAGACTCTTACACACATCTCACACATCTCACATCCCCCCCCCTCAGCGACCGACCCCCGCTTACGGCCACCGGCAGGCGACACTTTGTATTGCCGGGACCCGAATTCACGGCGCACACCGATCGTCACGCGCACTAAAAAGTAAAAACCACACCCAAATGACGATGAACATCGATTTCAGTCGCGGGATGCACAAACACACATTAGTGGGCCGGGATGGTGGGCGGGCAGATTGCGGCGACGTGTGGCCGCGGCGTCTCCGGCGGCTGCCGCGGCTCCCTCCCCGAGTATCAGTCACAGCGTGGCCGCCTGCAACAGGGCGCAATGGGTCAGCAATGGCGGCGGGACGACGCATATCGGGTCATGGGCGAGCACAAATCGACACACAAGGTATATAAGCAACAACTCCACTCGGTTAAAGCATCTACAGACGAAAGTACCAGGATGGAGAACGGACACCTTTACCAACAAATATTAATTCACATACACGAAGAACGTGACAACAAACGAGGACAGTCGATAGAACAAACAAAACCGATTTTAATCAGTGAGCAGCAAACCGAACTTCGTAGAATGTACATTAAATGCTCTTCTCCGCCATGTTAATCTTAAAAGAATGGCTAAACGACGTAGGCTTTCACTACAGCTAATGAAACAGAGGTGACGCATCATTAGCAAAAACAATATTACGATATATGATGAAATGAAGGCAACTGACGATACCACAACTGGCCGTACGAAGACTCGGCAAACTCACCCGACGCGGCGTGGGCGGCCGTTATCGTCGGCAGTCGGCCGATCACGTCAGGTAGTGCAGGCTCCTGGAGTGACAGGGGCGCGTCAGATAGCTGCCAGGGGCGGGGAGACACACGGCACAATTACAGCCGACCGCTGGGCCCCAGAAGGACGGACAGATGGGAGGACAGAGCTCCAATTACGGTAGTACAGCGTATGTCATGTCAGTGTAATAAGTTCAACTTGCGATAATGTTAATAAAAGCTGGCAACACTACTAAAGAGCAAGCAAATACTAAATGATGGCAAAATTTCAGTCACATGAGTGATGCTAGATGAAATTTAAAAATTCAGATGTATTAGGTCGAACAAGATAAATATAAATCATCAATGTCATAAAAGTAAACGCAAATGACATGAGGTCCATTTGAATGCGATTACATACTCAAACAAACATAATTTGCAAATCTGTGAAAACCTGTTCAGGTCGTCTGCACACGCCAGCATATATGACCACCCGAAATTTTCATGCAGACACACAAACACCGATGTACGGAACGCATCCGACTGGGGTGTAGTGCAGCGCAGGGAGGTGGCGGTGCCACCCGGGCAGACACGCAGACGATGGTAGGCGGTAGCCCCACAGCAGACGGCACGGACCACTCGCCCGCGGTGACTCGCTCGCACTCGCCCTGCCAGTGCCGGAGGACCCCACGCGCCACTCGCTCCTGTTCCCAGCGTGCGCCGAGCACCGTCGGCACGCGTCGCGTTCGCTGCAGACGGGCAGACGGTCACTGTGGCTCGGCGCCGCCCGCCCGGCCTTACTGTGCTAGAGCTCACCTCGGGCCGTCGCTTCCGCCGACTGTGATCGCACGACGAACGTCCTCCGCTCGCTGACGATCGCTGGCTGCCGACACCACTCTCCGCTGTCTCGTCACACGCCACCAGCTCGGGTGCGCCCCAGTCACGCATACGACATTCAGCCCCGATCCCACCCACCCCGCCAGCCACCCACCCGTCACACACCCGCTTCCAGCGAGAGGCGAAAATCGGAGCCCGTCGGTTGCCGTGCTACGTTCTCCGCCGCCCGAGAGACCGTTCTCCGCTCGTTCTCAGCTCTCAGCTCGCCCGCCCTTGGAACGCCCAACACACGCCCGTTTGGATGTGTATGTGTGCTTTATTGTGGGACGGCACCGCCGCGCCCCAACACATGAAACCGGGTACACATGGAGCTAAAATCTAGTACGAAGCCAATCAGGACACCGCGTGGCGCGCGGGTTTGCTCCTGGGCGGGCGCGGCCGCCGTGTCTCCGCCGTCTTCTCTCCCGTGCAGTCGTCTCCCGTCGCCGTACTGAGGCGGTGCTCGCGTCTGAGTGACGCCGGAGCGCGCCACTCGCCGCCGGCGGCCGCCTAGTACCTGCGCACCGCGGTGAGTTCGCGGTGCTGCGGCGCGTAGCTAGAACACACAGACACCAGTCTCAGGCCGGGCTGGCAGCCAGTCGCGCCGCGCCGGCCCCAGCGCAATGCCCGCTCGTCATGGACGCCATCTCCTCCGTGTTCTAGGACCACGTTTAGTCAGAGGCGCATCGTACTTGCGGAAACGGGATCGCGTGGGGATTAGGAAATTTGAACGGTGCAGAGGCGATGGCTGATAACTTACGAAGTCGGCATCTTCATTTTTACGCACGCAATGTTTCATACCTTGTGAGAATACAGCCCGTTTAAGTCCGATCTGTTGGACCATTTTCATGACCAATGTCCAATTTGGAACCCAGACATTTTAAAAACAGCTCTAAATCAGCCAAACTCAGGATGTTGTGGATTAGAAGCGGCGGTAGGAAAAGGTTATATGGCAAGGCGTTTGCCTGGTCACCCATGTCACACTTCTCGGGCACAAGCCAGATCAGAAATCACGCAACTTTGACCCTCAGATATGAGCTAAACCATCAGTCTCCATGGTAAACCTGCGAACGTAGGCGTAAGTTCATCACAGAATACTCCGCCAATCGCATAAAGATCTCGGCAACACACCACTGTTTAACGTGAGCGCCTTTACCCCCTTCACCTGAAGAAGCAACATGCCAAGTGCGCACGATTCCGATATGACGTTACGTCCTCGCCAAGTCTGTGAAAGCAGTCGTGAGTGTCGCGGGCGTATCATGGCCCATACAGTTGCGAGAGTCCCGTCCCGGTTCGTAGTCGCTCGGCAGCGACTTCAAAGCACGCCAGGACGCCAGCTGCCCCGCGTTGGCGACCCGACCCGACCCGACGCGTTACGACCGGTTCGGTGAGCAGACCGTCAGACCCACGCCAGCGCCAGTCCTCCACCCCATCCCCCCCCCCCTCCACCCCTTGGTCAGCCCGTGCGGTACTCACCGTCTGGGAGGGCTGGCTCCGCGCGGCGCCGGCGCCGCCGCGTACCGGTCGTAGCCGTCGTAGCCGCGGCTGGGCGCCGGCTCGGCCTGGTAGCGCGGCGGAGAGCGCCGGCCGTAAGCGTCGCCGTAGTCGTCGCGGCGCTCGTAGCCGCCGGGCGCGCCGCGCGCGTCGTAGCCGGCGCCGGCGTACGGGTCGCGCGGCGGCGGCCGCCGGTCGTAGCCGTCGTAGGGCGCTGGCCGCGGCGCCGGAGCGGGCGCCGGCGCCGGTGAGCGGGCGTACGGGTCGCGCCGCTCGTAATCGTCGTAGTAGCCGCCGACGGCTGTGCGCACTGGCGGCGGCCGGCGGTCCATGGCGTACCCGTTCCCGTAGCCGCCACCGCCCGCACCGCCGCCGCCGCCACCGTAGCCGTTGTAGCCGGCGTTGTAGCCATCACCGTAGCCGCCGCCGCCACCACCGCCGCCGCCGCCGCCATACCCACCTCCGTAGCCGCCACCGCCATAGCTGCGAAATAGAGCCACAATGTCAAGGTAGCAGCCTGGACTGTAATATTCAAACATGTAAGGTGTAACGCTTAGCACATGCTTGTATTAATAGTGACAGCAAAGTGGATAGCAATGGCACATACATACTACAGAGTATACTGAAGACCAAGGTTGCTATTATAATAATAAACCAATAACCAATACAGGTACCAGCAACAAAAAATTAAGGGATCTGCTATTTTGAAATCATCAAGGAGAACCAAGATGACGCACCCGTCCGAAGCCGGCGGGTAGGAGCGGCCGTATGGCTCGAACCGGTCCGAGCCGCGGCCGCGGAAGCCGCCCATTCCGCGGCCGCGCATCGGTCCGCCGCCACGGCCGCGGCCGCCGCCGCGGCCCCGCTGGCCGGTGGAGGGCTCGACGCTGATGCGCGATCCGTGCAGGTCTGTGCCGTTCAGTTTCTGGATGGCCGTCTCGGCCTGGTCCACCGACTTCATGTGCACGAAGCCGTAGGTGCCCAGTACGTCACACTCTGTGACCTCGCCATAGCGCTCGAACAGTTTGCGCAGGTCGAGGGACTTGGTGGCCGACGACAGCCGACCGACAAACACCTTGGTCTGCGGCGCCGCGTCCGTCTGGCAGCACACACAAACACAGCGTCAGTGCAGCTCACTCCAGACAGGCAATGCGCAGGACAGATTGGTGAATTCAAATAATAAAACACATATTTGGCATCTAGGTATATTTAATTGGTCTTGCAATGAATTTGAATAAAAAGAAAATATTGCTTTTTTCAGAAAATTTTGGTGACCATTGAACAATGCAAAACAAATTTTATCCAGATCACGCTGATTTTGTAGGTACTTACAGGTGGCATCATTGTGTGAGGGAAGGTCCAGTGGGGGCTCCTGAAAGAATAAAAGCAATGTAACAAATCTATTTCTAATAAACCCGAATAAATATTAATACAACTTACATCGATGACAACTGCCAATACAGCCAACTTTAAACATTGCAACCTCTGTAGTTCTGTACTCTATGCATACAGCAAGTAAAACATGCCTTAATAAATCAATGCTTTTATTGCAAAATGTTAGTGAATTCACTCTTCTTTAAGTGATTTTCTCCTTTAGCCTAGCATGGGATTAAGGCAGGTGTAAGATAACTGTAGGATTACCAACAACCAAAGTTCTAATTGTAGTCAGGGTGTCAAAGGCCATTCAAGAAGTTTCAGTGCTGACATGGCTTTATTCACAGCCTTCAGGCAGTGGGAGGAAGACTTCAGCAAACTAGATCTAAGTCCTTCTCCATGTCTGTTTTTACAAGCTCCAATGCCTCTCCATTTGGCTGTTTCAGATACCTTTATGCCGTTTCAGATACGGAGATGTATCTTTCTCCGTGACTTTGGGTGCCTAAATGCACTACTTTACATTTTGTCACATTGACCTGTAAGAGCAACTTGTTTCACCAGAAGGCTAGTGTGTCCTCCACTCTCCAGGTCAGTTTGGAGCATTTCTGCATCATTCTTGCTTGACACTGGCTGCTACAGCTTTGTGTCATCAGCATAGAGTTTCATGGTGCTGTGGGTTAGCCTTGGCAGTTCATTTCACAGTATAAACAATATTAGGTTTTATTGGGTCTATACCACATGAGATACTGTTAAAGGGATTTTCAGTGGTTTAGGTTTGGCACCGATATAGAACTTGATGTTCTTTTGAAACAGTGACATCTTCACAGCTTCAGTCACACTAAAAAAATCGATTTCAGGACACTGTCTGATGCTTATTTCGTTCACTCTTCTTTAAGTGATTTTCTCATTTAGCCTAGCATGGGATTAAGGCAGGTGTAAGATAACTGGGTATTAGTAGAGCAGATGTCACACGAAGGTTTTCCAACCAAAGAGAGGCGCTATAACCAGAGGTGCTTCTTTCTAACAAAACCTAAACAAACCTAACCTAACCTGACCTAACCTAACCTACAACCTACAAACCTACCCTACAACCTACAAACCTACAGCGCCTCTCCTCAGTTCGAAAACTCATTCATCTCTCTTGAAAACTCTTGTAAACTCATTCATTTGGCACTAGTGGGCTAACTTTCCCGTTTGGATGTGTTCTCATCCATCGGGCAAGCTCTTTCTGTGCGGGTTCCTTCCCTTCTCCCCATCCCTGCATTCATTTTGGCTACTCTCAGACCAAGGGAACCCCAAACAGGTGAGTTGAACAGGTGAGTTGAAAACCTTTGTGTGACGTCTGTTCTACTAATGCCGATAACTGTAGGATTACCAACAACTAATATAGCATTGCATATATACATGACAGACATCAGAGGGCTATTCATGGGCCCTGTGTGTGGTAGGACCATACACAGCCTCCAAGCTCTGTCCACTGCGTCCATACTGCCATGTCAGCCTTCCGTCACAGCACACAGCCCGCAGCCGTGTGACCGTGATGTCATACAGACTACCCCTCCCCTACCCCACGCCTGCTGCACACACCACTCCACACACACACCACAGGCAGCAGTATGCAGCGCCGGTGAACAGCCCTCAGGCTGTACCTACCAGAACAGTAGGCGGAACTATGGTCAAGCGTACCCATTTTCGGGAACGCATTTTCGTTCCCATGTTTGGGAACGATAAACTCAAATATGGGAACGCCATGTAGGCATTATTTAAAACAAGAAAAAGAACCGTTAAATGACGTCCAAAAAATATAAAACGATCGTGAACCGCCTGATATTTGTCTCAATATTGTTGGGAAAGAGTTTGATATTGTAAGGCCCATCGTAGTTTCAAATCGTTCCCCTATTTCTAAAGCAGTCCATCATCCGGGCCGCGAGCCCAAATTTGGGAACGCTCTCGTACACTGGCGCTGCAAGCGTTCCTTATTATGGGAACGGCGTACCCAAAATTGGGAACGATTTCACCGACGCCTTTCAGGGGCTCTTTTCATTAACAAGCATCACGTCCAACGCCGCAAATTATTGTTAACGCAACAATCATCAGATGACCTTTCCGGCAAGACCGTCGCATGTTTCGCCCGGTCTTCTGCGCTTTTATTCCCGTCGATCTCGCAGCGGGCACGCCCCCCTCTGCAGGATTACGTAATTCACAACGCTCAGCGATGTTCAACAAGGTCTTCCATACCTATATCCACCGTCCGCGCTGAGGGTGGAGACATGTCAAGCACCTGTCTGTTTATCACCGATAGTTGACGAGTACAAGGAAGTATCCAAAAATGGGAACGCTGAATATGTTACACCCTCAAAACACCTAGTCCCAATGAAAATCTAGTTTTTTCCTTTCTTGATGAGTGTAAGTGGCAAAAGGCCTGGTAGGATGGGCACGAGGAATTATCGAAATCAGCATAAAAATTATAAATAAGCCACACAGAGCGAGCTATATAAGAGAAATTCCCCCAAAACGATCACGCTTAGAAACACGGAAGACAAAAACCACGCTCATGACGCTCCTTATAAAACAACTCTAAGCAGCTAGCATCCAAATAAAATATGTCTTTCCGGGATGATAAAATACAGCTGGATAATTTTCAACCGCTTAAACTGAGTTTACAACAGTCGCTCGGTAAATTCACTCACGTTCCACGCGGTCGTCCGCCCCGACACAAAAGTCAACAATATTACCTCGGGACCGTCCGCGTCTTCGCTTGCATTTGTCAGCATCTGGTGTCGATAGTATGAAAGTTCATAACCAGGCGAAAATTATTATACTTTACCTCAAACTAAAAAATGCTTCATTTTCCTTAAAATTGCATGTTAAATGTCGTATAACCAGGGATGCGGAGCCGTGGAAATTTCAGACGGCTCCGGCTCCGGCTCCGGCTCCGGAGAAAAAAATCGGCTCCGGCTCCGGCTCCGGCTCCGGGTGAAATGTTATGGCGGCTCCGGCTCCGGCTCCGGCTCCGAGTAAAATGGTCCGGCTCCGGCGGCTCCGGCTCCGACTCAGTACATCCCCTATGCAATCAATTAAATACGGGTGGAAGAAAAATTGGATTGGTTATACGCGTTACTCTTTGCCATGACCGGCTCATGACCGCGTCCCCGCGCAAACGCACCTCGGAGAGAACTGGCAGAACAAAGGACTAGGAAGCGATGGCATTGGAAACGCAGTCGCCGGGAATCAGAGTTCACTGAACCATCGTAAGCTGACACCCGTCTCGGCAGAGACGGTGCTGGGAGTCGCAGTCCACTGCACTGGCTTGAAAACAATGGCCGTCACCTGATGACCGGTCCTCATGTTCTGGGGATGCAGTAGACGTGGGGGGGAGGAGCAGACAGGAAGTTGATTGCGTACTGTGGGATACTGGGGATATTCGGCTTTTTTCATTCACTTGATGGCCCATGACGTAAGTACATACCATATGTTTCACTGCCTTGTACTGTCAAACCGAACTAGGTCAATTATTTTTTTTCCTCTCAAAAAATAAAAAGGAGCCGGAGTCGCCCCCTTTTTTGGCGGCTCCGGCTCCGGCTCCGGCTCCGGTCTATATTGTTTCACGGCTCCGGCTCCGGCTCCGGCTCCGGGCAAAATATGCCGGCTCCGGCGGCTCCGGCTCCGACTCCGGCTCCGGCTCCGCATCCCTGCGTATAACCCATATTTCCACCATTCTGTCATTTTCAAAAAATCATTAAAAATATCATTCCACGGTCAATTTCCTTGTTCCACGGTCAGATTAAAGATAGCTTTATGGAGATTTAGTAGATACTTAAATCAGCGTGCACTTTTTTGAGACGTGATGCACTTTTGAGTTTTAGTGGGAGAACGGCCGAAAAATTGCCTTCCGTTCTCATAAATGGGAACGCCCGTTCCCATATTTGGGAACTCCGTTCCTAAAAATGGGAACGTTCCTATATTTGGGTACTCATGACCATAGTTCCGCCTACTGCAGTTGGGCAAACTAGGCGGCGTGAATCAAAATATGGAGGCATCAAAATATTGATTCTAGTGGGCGGAGCTTTGACCATATATGGGCATAGAATCAATATTTTGATTCAATTTGGGACGTTCCCACCTTCAGACGACCCGTTACGGCGGAAATAACCCCCATGACGGCGAGATTTTTCGACAAGTCAATACAAAAAACTTCCCCGCTTCAATTTTTCGCTGCATGGCTATCAGCCGTTTGTCGCGCGTACCTTTACGGATGGCATAAAGATTTCGCCGCCATAATTCAACAAAAACGTGCTGTTAAAACTTGCTCTGTTTATCATTAACGACAAGCCTCTGTAATTTTTTCATAATTTTGTCTAAAAGAAAATAAAAAATGCGTTATTTAGTTGTATAATTCATTTATAAGAAATATTCTTTTTCTTTGTATCTAGCCACGATTTCCGGTTCCCGCCATTTCGCGCCGGCGTCGTGGGTGTTTGGATGCAACGTAGTGCTCCCGGTTTTATTTTGTTTAAGCGACCTTTTCTGAAGTGTAAGTAACAATGGATCATATTTTAAGATACTTTGAAGTGTGTTTTTCAATTTCAGGCATGTGATCTTAACGTTTCTTACCGAAAACTCGTTTTAAGAGATGGTTTTAGGAACATGGCGCGGTAGCGACGTCAGCGGCGCGGGACGCCTTCTCACTTTTCTGCTGTCTTTTTAAGCTATATTTTTTTGAAAATGATGTCTTAGGTGTAGTATTTCAGTGAAATATGATGTCCTTTAAAAGTTACGGTATAAATTAGTTACAAGAAGCCTAATGTTTTGTCTCACATGATAGAATTGTTGGGTGGACTCATGAAATGGGGGCAGTGCATGTCCAGTATTTTACATAATTTGGATGTTTTAGCCTCTGCTTGTGTCTCACTCACCCAATTGTTGCTACAACTTTAATTTGTAAGTGCAACAAAAGCAAGTTGCTGAATGGTGTAAGCCATATTTACATTATGCGTGATCTTCAAGAAAATTATGTGTCTAATGTACGTCAGTCCAGGGAATGCTGGATAGTTAATTTTCAGGATTGTCCATGCCAAAGTTAATTTTAGAGGCCAGTTTTATCAACACAAATAGTTGCATGCTGGAATTTTTTGCCTAAAGACTGCTTCACATATGGAGCGTTACATGATGGGCACGTAAACGGATAGGGCTGTACTGTTCATGCTCTGTATGTGAAGTAACTTTTAGACAAAAAAAAAATCCAGCAGCCACCTATTTTTCTGTTGGTACAGCTGGCCTCAGATCTACTTTTTTGGCAGAATTTATATAACTGCATGAGATGACAGTTGTTGGCGCACCTGGTGACGTTCAGTGGAAATTTAAGCGACATTAAGTATTTAATTTTTATTGAATATATTCTAAAATTAATAGTTGCTGAACAAATAGAATAATAACACATATAGTTTCCTAATCTATTGTCCACAAATGTCCTAATTATTGTGTTCTGTTCTGTTGTTTGCTGCAGGTCAACCAAGGCTCAAACACTGGTCGTTGCGGGGATCAGCTTCAGAGGGTCAAGGATGGCGTCTTGAATCGCTGTTCAGTCGACAGGCAACTGTATGACAACGCCATCCCTGTCAACCAGAGCGTCGACCGAAGAAGGGCGGCGTTGCGCGGACCTGGCCGCACCCGACCAACCGGTGGAGTACCTGACTCGGGCTGGGCGGAGACTACCTACATCACGACCTTTTGAACTTTGATCTCGTAGCGAGAAACAATATGACGTAAGGAAGTGTGTATGTGGCTGGCGGGGCCGAGGGTGAAATGCGCCACGTGTTTATCCTGCCGGATGACGACAGCGTCACCAACCTGTCAAAGAACGAGCTGGTGCAGCGCGTGATGACTGCTATCTCGTCCCTAGAACCGGAGTAGAAAAACGTGCGCATAGCCCAAATGAAGCGAACCAAAACACAGACAGGACTGATAGCTTTTCGGTCGAGAATGTTCTGAAGATGCTGATCAGTAGACCAATTGGTGACCGTTTTCGGTGGTAATATGGGATCTTGTGGTGTTCCAAAGCGACCTGCTTTGGGTGTGGACATAAGTGGCTCAACCTGACAGGATTGATGTTTTAGGTAGCCGTGCTAATCATAAACCCTATATTGAGTGTATCTGTACAAATTTTGTTTATATTTATTTCATGTATTTGATTCGAAACCGAAAATTGTTCTTTGTAAGTAGGCAACATCGAGACGTTGAAGTCATTCTCCAGACGTTTATTTGTTTTTCTTACCTGTCCATGGTATGTCTTATTGGTTAGGTCTCAGTTTCAAATATTATTAACTGCATGTTTTGCAAATACGTAGCCATATTGAATAAGAGACGTGTCCTAAAAGTGAGTATTGCTTTGCATGGGATGTGAGCATCAACGACAGGGCTTTGTGATGGCAAATGTGTGGCAATTGCAGGGATCTTTGTGAAATGTGTTATGAATATCATCGTATTATTTGCGAATGCAAATACATCCGTGTATCATATTTTCATTCAAATTGTGCAATTTGTGCAACGGGCTTGAGTATATTGTTCGGCGAAATATCTCTTACTGTACTCCACAGAAATGGGACGGGATACAGATGCGTAGAAACACATTCATGAACACGTGAAAGACGATAAGTTAACTTTTTTTTACTCAAAATCAATGCTACAAAGCAGGGATGTGGAGCCGTGAAAATGTCAGACGGCTTCGGCTCCGGAGGAAAAAATCGGCTCCAGCTCCGGCTCCGGCTCCGAGTAAAATGGTCGGGCTTCGGTTCCGGCTCCGACTCAGTACAACCCCTATACAAAGGTCAGCACGGCTCCCTTCACGCATTCCCTCGAAGGCTTGCAGCTTTGAGCAGGGAGCTAGGGTGAGTGCTGAAAATCCCTGGTCTACCGTGGGAATAAGGTCTAGAAAAAAATTACACGATCCTGTGCTGATAATATCTTCATGAATTTATTGAATTTGCATTATTTGCACACAAGAAACGTTCCATAAATCAATTTGAAGAGTGAAGTACATCTGCAGAAAGTCAGTTCGCAGAATCAATATATTGATAGACCAGCTGATTTCAGAATCAAAATAATGATTAGCCAGCTGTTTGCGGAATCAAAATATTGATTCTCGCCGGGATTAGCCGCCGTGATGAATCAAAATCTTGATTATTTTCAAGACGCTTTCCTAAACTAACCTAAGAGGTTAGGGCTATTGTTTCGTGCCTGGCGGGTAGCTTCAACGTTGCTCTTCATTTTGTGAAGAAACTATCTTGAAATTGTAGCCGGTTGCTGAAGAATTGACGTTTCTGTGATGGTCTGCACGTATGCCCATATATGGTCAAAGCTCCGCCCACTAGAATCAATATTTTGATGCCTCCATATTTTGATTCCCGCCGCCTAGTTTGCCCAACTGACTGAGAAAGGCAGATACCTACCATTCTCTGAAAATGAAAACAATACTACCCACCAATCCCAATCATAAATATACATAAAAACAACAATGAGAGGAAACACTTACAGAAAATAACATGAAAAAGCAGATCTTGTACGTATCTTACATGAGTCAATCAGTTAATAAAGCAAAAATAAGCGTAAGACAGAAATGGCGCACACCGGCAAGTGCACGCTAAGAAACATGCAAGTAAAATCTCGTATTCCCAGTAACTGAAAAACGTCAAAATGCATCAAGGTAACAAGCGAACCATAAACTTACCTATCGCAATGTTCAACTACACATGAGTATGAAATACACACTTTTCACACTACACCACAAACGGACCCAAAGCACCACCACGCCGAACGAAAATGGCGGATTTCGGCGGTTAGTTATTTAGTACTGGGAAACTAGTCATTTCTGATAAGAAATTTCGGCTTTGAGATTGATGAATGGGATCAATTTGTATAAAATAAATCATTTTATGAATTTAATTTTCAGACAATTTCTAACAGTGCCCCAGTAAAGACTGATCAGATAACAAAGTGATGGAACATGATTTGACTAGAGGTGCCACTTTCAAGACACCTCAGCGCTTGCCTCAGCGCACCGAGCGCACCTACTTAAGCGTATGCAAGGCTATGTAAACCAGTGTATGTTTTAGGGCCTTGCCTCAGCGACAGCGTGCATCACGCACCATTCCAGATTAAAATCCATCCGGCATTATCGATTAGCAGATCTGTCAGCTGCTGGATGAGCAGCTTGATTTAGCCTGACTCCCATAGGCGGCGGAACGGGCCGAGGGCACCGGGGCACCGTGTCCCCTTTGATTTTGGCATTTCAACATTGGGTGTTTCATGGAAAGAATGGGACCAAAAGTCGGCAGTGCCCCCCCCCCCCCGTCAGAGCCGAAGGTGTTCCGCCGCTACTGCCGACACCAGCTGGGGTCCCGCAGTAGTGTGGTTGGTTGATCAACAAACTGGTTGATCAGCAAAAAAATCACCCGTATGCTCCCAGGGTATGTATGCACTCAGGCCCCAGCAGACAACTTTGAAGTCTTTCTGCTGTGTGCATCATACATCTGCCAGGCACGCACCAGCACATCCTTCTTCTTCAATCTGCATCCGCCTAACTAGTCGAAAATCTGAGACGAGTCTCAACATTTCCGTGCAAAAGAGCAAAACAAGCTTGTGGATTTAGCTGCCTTTTCAGATTGGTCAGCAAGCATGAACCTTACCGATATGTCGGAAACAAGTGCATCTCAACTTGCATGCTCAATTAGTTGCAATGAAAAGAGGAGCCACGCAAGCTCATCTTCGGCTTCCAAACCGACGTTTTGATGATATAGAAACGTCATAGCTTTTATGAGAATAAAAATCTGAAGAGAGGAGAGGGTATGGCTCTCTGGTCCCAATGCCAGACCTCACCGCATTGCTTTGGGCAGGGCAGCTGCCTCACTTACAAACCATCTCAAACAGTACGTATGTGCTGAATATCCCACTCTGTCAGAGTAGCAGCCTCGGTACACACATACCGCGTGTATTTGGCAGCGGCCGTGCGGCGACTGATGAGCGCGGCCACTCGGAGCCAGCCGGAGCGGCCGGGGTCCCCCGTGCCGGCGGCCTCACCGCGTCCCTTTCATCGGGTACACACCGGTACAGTGCTGGTGCGGTCACCAGAGGGCCTTCTCGTCACTCAGTGAGCACAAAGCCACTCACAGTACACACATACGCACAGTGGAACAGTTAGAATTGGTCTCATGACGACATACGTCTACAAAGCTCAGAAAGCAGGCAGTAGCTGCGCAGTGAAGAAAAGAACGGTGTCCCGAGCTGAAGTGCGCAGCCTCCAACGACCGGCGCTGTGACAAAACACGGACTCCAAACGAATGAAACTCTCTGAGATAGTGAAAAATGACACAACGGCAGCAACATATAGTAATCTCTAGTGACGCCGTCAGCGGGCAGTTCACAGGCCCGCAGCGGCCAAATAACATTGTACTACACAACAAACACACAGCGCTACCGGGCACACACCGCTATCACACACACTCCGGCGAGGGCGCCGCGACACACACAGAGAGCCGGCAGAGCGGCGGAGCACGGCGCCAACCAATGACAGAGATCAGAGCGAGGAAAGAGCCGGAGACAGAGTGTCGGAGCGTGCGACTGGCGACCGTGCCTGGAGGGCTGGGGGTCCAACACGCAGCTTGGCACAAGCTGAGCGATAATGCTCCATCTCCAAACCGTCAAGCCGAACTTCTTACAGACACAGCGATCGTGCCACTCGCGCACAGACTCCGTACATCCTACTGGCTTAACACATACATCGGTACATGGGTGACGGTTAACGGAAAAATACGTGTGCAACACACAAAATACGCTCAGAGGAACTAATGTGAGTCCAAGCATCCTACGACATCCTTCTTGGTCAAATAATGGAACAAACCAGCAGCTCACGCCGTCAGAAAACATCATAATCAGTGAGACCGAACGGGTTGCAAGTGCAGCGCGTTTAACATCAAGCTGTGGTCGTTCACAACTGACAATGCCCGGGTACCTCCTGAGATGTGCACACGGTCAACCCCGACCCATCTAACGCCGGTTCGGCCCGGAGCGGATCAGCGCAGCCACATACGGCAGCGGCGAGACCAGCGAGATCGTGCCACCAACAGACCGGACTGGCGGCGGTACAGCGGAGTAAGACAGCGGAGTAAGACCGATCGGCAGCGCTCGTATCTCTCAATACCTCAAAGAAAGTAGGTATAAGAAAACAAAATACATGCAATGGAAAGCTGTGAAAAAAAAACGGAGAAACTGGTTTCAGATCTTTAGAAAGCGACCAGTGCGACATTATACACTTGAAAGACAATCATATTTGTTTCCTATCTTCTGCAAAGAGAATGTTTCACATGGTGCCACGCAAGTTTGAGAACACGATGAAATTAAGCAAGTAACACTAAAAAGAAAAGAATGAGGCATAAACGTCGTTCCTATAACTTGCGAAAAATTATCACTCCGTTAAATTTTGTAACGTCGCGTTCATAATAGCGATAACAAAACGGTAGTGGTAATTTCCCTTAATGCGTCATATAATGGGGACATGTCGGGACAATAGTGAAGATCGTGCTTACGGTTAACTTATCACATAAGGTTACAAAATTTGGAGTGACTAGAACACACAACGCGGCCACTGAATACCATTACCATATGGTGACAGTTTTGTTAACTATGAGAGCCCGTTCCCCACACCCTTCATATTACGACGGTGGTTATCGTGTCGTATCGTAACTAACCCTAAAATTGATTTCGTGTCGAATTCAGCATAATTCTTGCGAGTTCGCATTTCTTCTGTAACGTTAAACCAACGTTTCCTAAATTGTGTAAACATATCGAAAAGCTCCCAGGCTCGGAGCATCCTACAAGTGAAATTAATCTCTCCTACCCGACCCTGTGGACTGCTGAGCGTGCGGCCAAGTGTGCTGTGAGCCCGGCGTGTGCTAGGGAAACATACCGAACACCGAGACCGCGACACCGCGCCGAGGGGCCGACCTCGACGGCGACACGCACACCCAGCGACACGCGCTCGTCCGCAGACACCGGGGACAGATACGGGGAGTGGGCGGACCTCCGGCCGCCGGGGGTGCTGGGGAGCAGGGGGCGCCCGGGCCCCCGGCCAGCATCATCTGACGTTGGGCCGGCGGGGCGGCGGCGGCCGGGTGCGGCGCCGCCGCCGGCCGGCCGCACACTAGTGGAACCGGTACTGCTTCAGCGGCTTCAGGCTGACGTACGTCTTCTTCATCTCGTCCTTGGTCTCGGGGCTGCGCTTGATCTCCGTGAAACGCTCGCCCTTCAGGGAGACCACCTTGTTGTCCAGGTAGCGCACCAGCTTCTTGGGCGACTGCGGGAGCGGAACGTCGCAAGGATGTTACCCGAGATCGTAGGGACTTCGCACATCACGCTGTGTTCTAATAATTGTATTGCTGGCAATGTGATGAGGTGCTAAGGTGAGGAGACAAAATCAAGTGTTTGAGCTCATCATAATCAAAGTCGAGTAATTGCGAACAATTTACAGTTTAGTGCGGCCATCGCCGTCCATGCAGCATGAGGTGAATTACGGTACCACAAAATACGAAGCACATACTCAGGGCCCATCAAAGAGATGCTGTGTTAAAAAACCTGCACGTCTTCTCCCCACGGTTTGGCCTCTCAATATGAGCCCGAGGAGCCGGTAACCTGGCGCCAGCAGAGCCATCCCAGCCCCGATGGCCTGCTCCGGCGACAGTGTCCGGTGAACGATTTGGACAGGTGCCTCTTGCGCTCGCATTGTGGCCCTGTCTTACCACTTTAGGAGGGCGTGTGGCTTGTGCTCGCGGTATGGTCCTGACTCACCGATTTGGGCAGGTGTGGACCGAGCTCACGTCAGGCCCCAACTGACCGATTTGGGCAGGTGCGGTTTGTACTCACGCCAGTCCCCGACTCACCGATTTGGGCAGGTGCGGCTTGTGCTGGCGCTTGCTGCCGTCCACGTCCTGGTAGCTGTACTTGGCGATGATGCTGGCCTTCAGAGACTCGTCATCCAGCTCCCGGCGGTCGCCGCGCCGGCGGCTCAGCACCTGGACATGCGAAGCAAACATTGTCAGCTCTGTGGTTTCATTTTACGCCCCTCACTTTACCTTTACACAGCGGACAAAACAAACAAAGCTGAAAAGAATGACCTCATGCTACTCGGTCCTTTTTTAGTGTTTGCTCCTGGCTATCTAATGACGAAGTTTCCCGACGCCGAGCATGCAGCCGTTTGCAATTGCAGGACCCGTCGCGGCCTGCCACTAGTCACTTCCCACCTGCTGCTGCTGGGTGATGGCGTCTCCCGTACCCCCTGCTGGGTGATGGCGTCTCTCGTACCCCGGTGATGGCGTCTCCCGTACCCCCCTGCCGGGTGATGGCGTCTCCCGTGCCCCCTGCTGGGTGATGGCGTCTCCCGTACCCCCTGCTGGGTGATGGCGTCTCCCGTACCCCCTGCTGGGTGATGGCGTCTCCCGTACCCCCTGCTGGGTGATGGCGTCTCCCGTACCCCCTGCTGGGTGATGGCGTCTCCCGTGCCCCCTGCTGGGTGATGGCGTCTCCGGTACCCCCTGCTGGGTGATGGCCTCTCCCGTACCTCCCTGCTGGGTGATGGCGTCTCCCGTACCCCCTGCTGGGTGATGGCGTCTCCCGTACCTCCCTGCTGGGTGATGGCGTCTCCCGTACCCACCTGCTGCTGCTGGGTGATGGCGTCTCCCGTACCCCCTGCTGGGTGATGGCGTCTCCCGTACCCCCTGCTGGGTGATGGCGTCTCCCGTACCCCCTGCTGGGTGATGGCATCTCCCGTACCCCCCTGCTGGGT